CTGCCCTTGCCCAGCCCTGGGAGCCATGCCACCGGGCACAGCCCCAGGCTGGGCTGCGGGAGGCAGCTTTGCCCTTTGAAGAGCTGCTGCCCTGCCAGAAAAATGACAAGGTGAAAAGTCGCCTCCATGAACCTTTCCCCTTGCTGGCAGCGCTGTCCCCTCGTGTCCAACATCCTGGGAGCAGGCTGGGACCTGGGGCCGGTGGGTACAGGGCTCAGCTCAGAGCTGAGCCAGATGTGCAGCTCCAGCTGCAACATCTTTCAACATCAGTTGCTGCAGGAGCAGCACACAACTCTGCAGCTGTGCTGGAAGGACACAGCCTCCAGGAGACACAGTCAGCACAACAGCAGCAGCCCAGGGAAACATCAGTCCCACCTCCCCAAGGAAAATGAGGCGAGTCCAGGCACCTGCAGCCTTCAGGCAAAGGCGCGGAGAAGGACATGATTCCCAGCTACTATTTCAAAAAAAACATTTTATTTACAGTATCGTACACCTCCCCTCCGTGCTAGTGGTTCTCCCTGCCTGAGACTCAGTGAGCAGAAGTGAAATCAATCCCTGGAAGCAAGTCAGGAGCCACAGTGGCCAATAGTGCCCAGCAGCTGGAGCAGGGCATGGAGAGCAGCACCTGCTCCACGGCAACTGCCAGCCCCTCCAGCGCTGCAGGTCAGAGCCTTGCTGGTGGAGAGGGATGGCACCCTAGGATAGGCACGAGCCTGGCAAGCTCTGGAGCTCAGAGCAGCAGCAGGCACGTTGTGCCAGAGTAAGGACTGAGGGGAGCTAGCCCCCGTTGCCACCATCCCTTCGACCCCACACCAGGGAGGTGCAGCCCTCCCCTGGGACATGGGCAGTAACAGCAGACAGTGCGGAGCCCCTGTCCCCCACCAGCCCCTCCTGGCTGCTCCCGCACCCCTGGCAGAGTCCCGGTTTGCTCCAGCACCTCTGTTGGGCAGGCAGCTGCTGCTGGGCTGGCAGCTGTACCCATTTTCCCCGTGAGATGCAGGACAGAGAAGCCTCGTGGGCCAGTGCCTACCACAGCCTCCAAGGCAGCTGGCAGTCCAGGGCTCAGCTGGCTGCCAGGGCTCAGCTGAAGAAATAGGTGGAATTCATCACCTTCTTCAGGTTGAATTTACCTGGGGGAAGTGAGGGAGAGGAGCAGTCAGACGAGAGCAGGGGCAGGGCAGGGTGAAGATGGGGCAACTGGGAGAGAAGCTGCCCTGAGTCCTGCTTCAGCTTCCTTCAGAAAACCCTGACGCAGGGTGGGTCAAGACAGCAGGTCTTGGAGGTCTTCCAGGAACTGATGTCCCTCCAGATTTATCTGGGACAATGGCAGGAAGAGCAAGACAGAAGAGCGTGGACAGCAGCAAGGCAGGGAAGGGAGAAGGGAGCACGGCCTCAGGGTACGAACCATCCCTGCCGCTGGGTCGTGCTGCCGCTGGGGCTGACCACGGCCGGGTGCTGGGTGCTCAACAGCAACGGAGCACGGGGCTGTTCCGGGGCTGTTCCGTCCCGCAAAGGCAGAACAAAGCTCAGCCAGATGGTCTGGCAGAGGCAGGGCCGAGAGATTAGGAGGAGTTAAACAAATTGCCTTAATCCCATTGCCTGTATCATCTAGAGCCTGGCAATTACCATGCCGAGTGCCTCGCTCCCATCTCCAGGCAAATGCCTCGTGGATGGAAACAGATGGGAGAGGAACAAGACAGGGGACGGCATGAGCTGGGTCAACCTGGGGAAAATCCCAGGGGCTCAGCTCCAGGGAAGGCAGGGACTGCACGCAGGGAGGCTACAAGGGAATGTCTTGAGGCGCTGCCCCACGGCTCTGCCCTCCAGGACTGGCAGGAAAACCCGATCTGGGGCACAGCTTTAGCACGGCTGGCCAGACCCTCACCGTGTCCAACTGCAGGCAGCACCGGAGCTCAGTGATTTGGGGGGCCACTCCTCATCTCACTCCCCTTATCTCCAAACTGCTCCTGAGCTTTGCAGTTCCTGTCCTGTGCTCCTACCTGTCTTGGGGACGTCTGACAGCTGCTCCATCAGTTTCTTCTGCCAGAGGGCTCGAGTCTCTTTGCCGGGGCTGGATGAACCAGAAGGGAAGCAAATCAGCATGGGAGCTCTGGGAAAAAAGGTGCACCCTCCTCTGCTCCCCAGTGCAGGCCCTGATGACACCCGTCAG